CAAACCCAAGGCAGCCCTGCTGGCTCTGGGCCCATTCTTAACAGGGTTGGATCAAGCAGTTCTTATTTTAGAACAAACCCACTGGAGTGGAATCTTTCCATAGCCAAGGGGAGGTAAACAAAGGGGCCTCCAGGACCTACTCACAAGCCCTTGTTTAAATTATGAGGAAAACATGTTTTGCTCCCCTCAGCATGGGCTTGGCGCCTTTCATGTCTCCCCTCCTGAGGAAGGCGGCTGGGAGCCCTTGAGGTGAGGAATGATGTTTGGGTCTGTGGTGGGGTGGTTCAGGATTGCCAAATCACCGCACTGGCTGGAGAAGAGCTGTCAGGAGCTGTTCAGGAGGGTTGGCCACAGGGTAGCACGGGTGGGGGCTGATGCTGCCCCTGTCACTAGCCTCTGAGTCACCAGCACAAGCTTGGGCTCTGGGGGCCTAGCCCGTCAGGAAGAGGTGAGGCCTTGTCTGCAGGGGAGCCTGGGGCAGTTCTGGGTTGTGGCGACAGCCTCAGCACATGCGCTCACTGCCCTTGAGACTCAGCATGAGGAGACTAGCACAAGGGAGGCCGGCACAGGCCCTCGGCTGCTGTGTGTCAGCTGACCATGTGAGGGGCACGGCCTCTAGTCGGGCCTGCGTGGACGCCTCACTCCAGCTGGCCACTCACATACCCTTGGGCACGAGTTCCAGGAAGACTGCATGACAAGGCTCGTGGCCCCTAGGGAGCTCCCTCTGTGGACGTATGTTGGCTGTTTTAAATAATAGTAATCCTCTGAAGAGCCCTCACAGCCATGAGATTGTTCTTATTTTCCAGATGAGGTACCAGAACCAAGGCCACCACATCAGGGGTCCATCCTCTTTAATTGTCAGTCTCCTCCAGTGCCTCCCCTGGGCCCTGCCTGCCTTCACTCTTCCCAGAGGGCACCGTGCCATGCAGGGCTCCAGACTGAGACGGGCAGACACTTGATGGGGCTGCAGTGGAGCAGAGCCAGCCTTCTGGGGGTCCTGGGCCTCAGGAGACAGGTGCAGGCCACCCGGCCGGAGGAGAGACAAAAGGGCCTGGTGAGGAAGGGGGAAGGGCGTGGGAGAGATGCACTGTTATGGCCACCGTCTGAGGCTTATCTCCTGGGCCAGGAGTTTGAAGGGTCAGCTCTAAGCATCCTTGCCTCTTCAGCCTCCTGTCACACACACTTGGAAATCAAGGCCCAGAGAGGCAGCAGCAGCTCAGCTGTGTCCTCCCTCCTCTGGTGCTCCTGCTGCGTCTGCTTGGCAAGAGGGTGCACAGGTGGCCTTTGGGGTGGTCACTGAGGGGCCATGGAGCATAGTGGCCAGGGGACAAGGGTTCCAGGCCCAGCTGTCTGCCGTAACCACAATAGCCCAGCTATCTGGTGTTCAGCCGGGTCAGCGAAGTGCACTGAGGGGCAGGTGTGTAGGATATTCAGGAGCAGGCTAGCCCAGTGGCCTTCACTGATGAGGCATCAAGGCTGGTGGGTCCTAGCCCCGGGCACTGCGTGGGGCAGACTGCCCTCCCCTGCCTTCCCAGCAACACCGTCATGAGGAACCACCTCTGCAGGGAACCCCCGCTCCCTTACAGACCAGACACACCTAGGCAGCAGCAAAAGGCCTGTTTGAGTGCGCTTTGGAGAGAAGCTATTGTTGTAGGGGACCTGGCATCCCCAGTGACTCTGCCTGGAGGTTGGGGTGGTGGCTGATGACCACGCCACTCCTGTTCTGAGGAGCTGGGCGTGGAAGTGGCCCAGCGGGGAGGAGGCAAAAGAGGAAGCAGGGAAGGCCTGGGCCTTCCTTGCCGTGCCCTGGCCCCAGTGTTCTGGCAAGGGGGTGGACACTGATCTCTGGGGCCCTTTCTGGCTGCTACTCTGTGAACTAGCAGTCACAACCCCCGTCCCTCACCCCCCGGCCCACAGTGAGAACCCCCTACCCACGGTGGAGATTGCCATCCGGAACACAGGCGATGCTGACCAGTGGTGCCCACTGCTGGAGACTCTGACAGACGCTGAGATGGAAAAGAAGATCCGCGACCAGGACAGGAACACAAGGTACCCCTCCCCCTTCAGGCCCCCTGCAGCTCACTCTGCACACAGCCACTGTCAGGCCAGAGGCAGACCCTGGGTGATGAGTCCCAATCTAGACCCCGCGTGCATTTTCCTTCAGGGAACAAAGGTTAAGCCCTCAGGTGGGATCTGACCACAGCCCAGACCCGTGTGTCCAGAGCCCTGGGGACGCAGGCAGGACTGAGCAGGCAGGAGCGAGGGCAGCGTCGGGGCCTCCAGCAGCCGACAGGCTCTGGCCGAGGGAGGGGCTGGGGATCCCACCTGTCGCATCCTGTTTCCGTCCCCACTCCCTTGGCCGCACTAGAGAGCCCTGGGGAAGGGCAGCCACCCAGGGCTGGACGCTGGCTCCGGGTCACCACCTGCTCTCCTCCTGCAGGCGTATGAGGCGTCTTGCCAACACTGCCCCAGCCTGGTAACCAGCCCGTCGGCGCCTGGCTCCCACGGAGCGCTGAGAAGATTGGACTGCCTCTCCTTCATCTTCTGGCAAGGAGGGTGGCAGAGGGGCAGGCCGGGGCCATCCTGAGGAACATGGGGTGTGGGGAGGGCTTCTGGTCTCCCTCCCCTGGGCACATTCCATGTGTTGAGCCCCAGTCCCCACCCAAGTCTCTGGTCAGAAAGAGGCGTTGTTTTGGGTTATGTTTTGTTTTTGTATAGGAGCCCCAGGCAGGGCTAGCAACACTTTTTAAATAAAAGACAACAGGTCATATTCTGTTTCTTCGAAGTGGGAGCATAAAAACAAGAAAGGGGACAAGGAGCAGGACCCAGCTGGGGTGGTGTGGGACCACGGCTGCCATGCCAGGCCTCTCAGCCTTCTCTGCCTCAGAGTCCCAGGTGGGCAGGTGGGGGCGAAGTTTCTATCCAAGACCAACCATAGCACAGTCTTGCCTTCCCTTGGGCCCTCCAGCTGATGGACATGACAAGTGAGGTCATGAGGCTCAGGGGAGGAGGGCCCACTTACCTTTCAGTGATGGCCCCACCCCAGCCGCCTTGCTTGGCCTTGTGAAGGAGCTACAGGCTTTCCTGCTGTCCTTGGGCTCTGCAGCGCCCGGCCTATTGTGCCACCCCTGGCCAGGAGCATAGCTTCTCTGGAGTTCCTTTCGGCAGCCTCGTCCTTTGTGGCTGCCGCAGGGGCATTACCAGCCTGAGTGCCCGAGGGCCCGTGCCTGGCTGTTGAGGCGCCAGCAGGTGCACACCACTCTTGCCACACCTTGCAGTGGTGCACGTGCAGCTGGTGGGTGGGGCCCACCTCTACCCCCGGCTGGCGACACGGCCCGGGTCCGCTCCTCTCTCCTAGGTCGGTTGTGAGGAATAAGACGCATGGAGCAGCCTGCCTGCCCAGTGCTGGCCATGGGTGATGTGTGTTGAGGAGGAGGCATAGCCCTGGGCCACTTTTCAGTTCCGCCTCCAGTGAGCCGTGTGTCCCCTCTTGCATCCTGTCTAATGTGGAAGTGTTCCACTCTACACTAGGGACATGGGTGGCCTGTGTGGGTCGGCTCACTGAGCCGAGTGCTGCTTGGGCGCACAGCTACGTTCTTATGAAGATAATGGGCCCAGATCCAGGCAGTGGGCTGGTGCCTTCAGCTGGTGGCAGGCCTTTCCTGCCAGGTCAGGGCTACTCTGCCCTCCAGGAGCATGGCAAGAGCGTGATGGCACCTGGCTCCCAACCTGAGCCCCACACTGGGCAAAGGCAGAGCTCTGAGGAGGAATTGAGGTCTTGACTGCCAGGATATAGGGGTAGATGCGCCCAGCCCTCTGGGCTGGGGGTCCTGTGATCATGTCCTGGGGTGTGACGGCTCCTGGCTCCCAGGGAGTTTGTACTCAAGCCCCCTGCCCGTCATCAGGAGTGGAACCTGCTGGAGCCCCACAGCAAGGGGACAGCTGGGCTTCACTGGAAGGCCTTGAACAGAGGAAGATTCCAGGCCCAGGCTCCACTGGCCTTGGAAATAAGTGGGCTCCATTGCTGAAGCGTTCGCTTAGTCCCCGAGGCCCTACAACTGGGAATGGAAGCATGCTGTGCCCCTCAGTCCCTCTGGGCAGGCTGGTGCGGCGGGCCCAGGGGCCGAGCCCTTGCTCCAAACACTGCCAGCTCATGCTGCTGCCCAGCCAGCTGCTGCTGCACAAGGTTTCACTACCAAAGTACGGTCACACTCCATGGTGCATACTGTGTCACGCACAAACGTGACAGCCTGTGGCTGGAGGAGCCCCTCTCTTGCTGACCATCCAGGGATAAAGTGTAATTTGGACTGGTCTAGGGCTGGTCTAGGGCAGTGAGGAGAGTTGGCCATGTTGTCTGATGCCTGCTTTACCAAAGAGGAAAGTGAGCTGTGGGATCAGATAAGGTTCCCCTGGTCCTCAGCTAAAAACATCAGGGAGAGAACTTGGCAGGGCTCTGCTACGGTGAAAATTTCTCAAAGCTTTGGGGTTGCAGAAAGGGCAGAGGACCCGGTCCTGGCCCTCCTCTGCACCTGACCTCATGGAACCTTGGCCAAGTCCATTAACTGCTCAGCTGGAAAGTGGGCAAAGGTCCACTTGGTTGCTGATGAGGGACAGTGAGGCGTCAGCCTGAGGGCACCATGGGCAGGACCCCCTGCAGACTGGGCTTGGCACAACAGGGACATCCCAGTCCTGGCCCCAGCCAGGGAGATCTGGCCAGCCCTGGCTGTCTGGCAGGGAGCAGAGATCCTGTGCAGGTGGGATTTGCCCAGGGCTCCAGCAAGGCACTGGCATAGCTAGAGTGAAAACCCTGAATGTGCCATCTGCTAGCTCACTGCTGCTGGACAACTATGGGCAGGCTTTTGACCCACTCTGGGTCTCCCTACTACCGACCGTTGGTCTGAGAGCGCAGGCCAGGCTTGGTGCTTGCTGAAGTGTCAGGGCCAGCAGCATGGAAGGGTGTGGCCAGCTGAGGCAGGGAGCCAGTGCTGTGGATGAAGAGGTGCAGGTCATTCTGTTTATTTGGGTGGGTGCTGGGCACAGGCCCAGGCTGCAGGATAGGTTGCTCTCCTGAAAGCAGGTGTGAGGGGTGGGATGGAGGCCTGCCAGAGACCAGGAAAACAGGCCTCTTGGGCTGGTCCTGGCCTTGGGTAGGGTCATTGCTGCAGGGCTCCTGGCTGCTCCTCTGGGAGGGGCAGGTAATTGGGGTCCTCCTCTCGAGCATCCAGTAGCAGCTTCCTGTGGGGAGGGGCCCACACTGAGCTGAGGCCAGCAGGGCTCCCCAGTGGGGTCAGGTGAGGGAGTGTTCGGGGGATAACTTTCATCTCGAGCACTCACAGGAAGCTGGGGGTCAGCAGCAGCCTCTTGCCTCCAGGCTGGTTGGGGAAGACATCCTCTAGGAAGTAGTAGATGTGGCCCACAGCAATCCCTGTAGGAGAGCCAAGGACTGCTGAGGCCACCTCCGCAGTCCAGAGCCTGGGACCAGCAGCACCTGCCCCGCGCGTGGCTCTGGGGGCCCAGCCAGGCCAAGTAACCTCAGGCCCTGTAAGTAAACTCACGCTCTGGCATGAGTACGAGACATCTTGCAGACTGCCAGCCCAGGGTGGGGCCGGGCTTGACCCTGAAGAACGGGCTTACCTGGCCCAGAGGTGGGCAGGACTCGGGGAGGTGATGGGCTGAGAACATGGGAGGAACAGGAACGAAGGCTGGAGCCCTGACATAGCCATCCCCACCCTGGTCAGGACCCCCACAAGCGTCAGTACGTCAGGCCTGAAGACGTGAAGCATGTATCTGGCTGGCTTGTTCAGGGGGCCAGAAAAACAGAAGCTGGCAGGGCAGGAAGTAGGGGTGGGAGGATAGGTGAGCGGTCCTGTCCCGGTGGGCGGGGAGGGCTCTGGCACAGGAACCAGCCTGGGTGGCCCTCCCAAAGACCATCAGGTACCAGACAGCCTGTTTGGGGGTGGGGAGGGAGGGATCCACAGGCAGGCTCACCCAGCAGGTCGACGAGGATCGAGTTGCCCAGCAGCAGCGAGAAACCCATGAGGGCCCAGGGCAGGAATGGCGCCTGGAAGGTGAGGAGGCCAAAGAAGTTGACCCTCACCCGGGGGTTGCGGCGGCTCCAGACATAGACCAGCATGACTGTGAGGGCCTGGCCCAAGAAGAACAGGCTGCCCAGGAGCCCCAGCAGCTGAGCCAGAGTCAAGGTGCTGGGAGGCCTTCTCCTGGTGCAGGCCGCAGAGCCCCTGCCCAGGACCCCTCTGACTTCCTAAACCCCAGGAATCCTCCCCAGTTTTCCTTCCCTCCTCACTTCTAGTGATGGGCCTTTCAATCAAAGCCACACTGTGGCCTTCAGGCCCATGTGAATACCCTGCTGGTCCATCTGGGCCCAGTGGCCAAGTACTGCCCTTCATTGCCTCACTTTCTCCTGGCTCAGCCCCCAAGCACCCTACCTGTCTCTCCATGTCACCCTGTGATACTGTGCGTACAGGAAGAGCTACTACCCCGGAGCTGAGCACATGATGTGCGCTAGATTCGTCCTAACTTGTCTGCCTCGGGCCCAGGCGCTCATGTCGGGCCCCACAGCGTACAAAGGCTGGACCCAGAGGCGCAGCGCCTGAGGTTTCAGAGCCTGGGAAGGATACGGTCATGAGGACGCCCCCGAAGAGAAACATGAAGACGAAGTCCGCCGTGCGGCCACGGAAGGAACCCTCCTCCAGCATGCGGCAGTAGCGAAACCTGCGGCGTCCGTAAAGGAAATGCCACCAGGAGGAGCCTCAGTTTCCCTGCTCCTGACCACTCCGGGCCACCCACAGCCCGGGAGGGCCTCTCCCCAGCCTGGCGGGCCGCCCACCACCCTACGCCTACGTCCGCACGGCGCAGGATACACGAAGAGCATGTTGAAGAAGAAGCTGAATCCCAGGGGCCCAAAGAAGAGGAAGTTGGTGACGAGCCTCCAGACCTACGGGGATTGGGGGAGGTGGGCGGTCAGGCGCGGGTCAGGCAGGACCCAGGTGTCAGGTGCAAGGGGCGGGGTGGCCTCACCTGAAACTTCCGGAACACGAGGTGCGGGTTGAAATAGAGCTGGAAGGGGCTGAGGAGCTCCAGTTGCTGCGGAACCAGGGGCTCGTCAGGTGCTACCCCGGGGAAATCCAGCGGTAACCATGGCGACACCCTTCGCGGGCTGCAGCCAAGGAACCGACCCCACCCTCCCGGCCAGCTTACCACAGCAGCGGTGGTAAGGACGCAGGCCGCGGTGTAGGCCCGCGTCACCGCAGGGACCTGCAGGAACTCGGCCGTCAGCCCCTGCCACGCCATTGAACCTTCTTTGACACGCGTGGCCCTACCTGCTGCGCGCTCTTTAACTCGCCTCCAAATCCCGCCTCACTCCCCGACGTCGGCCAATCCACGTCGGGGGGCGCAGCGCGCCCAGGGTAGGGGGCGGGGCCCTGGGCCTAGTAACCAATAGGAGGAGGAAACTGGAGGACCAGGGCGGGACAGGAGGGTGGGCAGGTCGGAACGTGGGACCAATGAGCAGGCCCCACGGTTGAGCACGTGGCGGTTGTTGTGGTGGCTGTGGTGGAGGCGCGCGAGAAACGTGTGGCCAATGAGGAACTGGCCGCTTGGCGGCAAGATAGGAAGAACCAATAGCAAGGACCTACAAGACCTTGGGGGCAGGACTAAAATTACACCGCGAGGGGGAAAAAAGACAGGACCGAGGAACGGCGAGACCGGAAGGGGCGGGGTCACGCTGGAGCGTGGGCAAGGCGGAACTAATGCGTGTCTGGTCCCGGAGCTCTGTGAGTACACCTAGGACTGGCAGCGACTCGGTCCTGTGTATTTCCCCCACTGAGAGCCAGAGACAGTGCCACCTAACCCACAACAAAGAAGGCGCTCAGCACCGCGCCAACCCCCCGCCCTCCCCTCAGTCCCACTGGACCCAACGCCAACTCCTGTAGGAGGTCTCCCCCAGGGACGCCTGGGTGCCGACGCGGGCCGGAACAAAGTGGACGGGCTGGAGAGGGCCTCAATATTTTGATGGAAAAGAGAAACTCCATTTATTCCCTCATTAAGTCAATCTTTTACTGAACACCGACTATGTGCCAGGTGCTCTTCTGGTTATAGAAGATACAGAAGCCGATAAGAGATGCTATCCCTTATGGTGCAGCCGAGGAGACAGGCAGTCATAGGCCTGTACTAATATGAGAGCTAGTGTTCCCAGGACCGGGAAATGGCGCAAATAATGCCAAGAGTGGAGGGTAGGGTAGTGAGCCGTCATGCTGGATGGGGTGATCTGAGAAGCCTCTGTGAGGAAGTGACACTTGATTGTCACTTTATTATTTTTTATTTTTTTAATGTTTTATTTATTTCTCAGAGACAGACAGCGTGAGCAGGGGAGGGTCAGAGAGAGAGAGAGAGAGAGGGAGGGAGACACAATCTGAAGCAGGCTCCAGGCTCCGAGCTGTCAGCCTAGAGCCTGACCTGAGGCTCGAACCCACGAACCGTGAGATCATGACCTGAGCCGAAGTCGGGCGCTTAACCAACTAAGCCACCCAGGCGCCCCACTTGATTGTCACTTTAGAAAGGTCCCTGTGGCCGCTGCAAGCACAGTAGCTTGTCAGAGGAATCCATAAGCAGGGGGAGGCTGCAAGGGACAGCGGTGGCTTGGGCAGCATGGATCCTGGAGTGTGGGGCTGGGATGAGAGGTGGGTTTGTCCATGGATTGGACAGAGCTGTGAGAGAGGAATCAAGGGTGACCTAGAGGTCTTTGCCACAGGGCAGATGGATGGTGGTGGCCTTTACAGATATGAAGAACGCTGGGGGGAAAGGTGGGCAGTTGTAGTACCATTCTGGCCTTGTTGAGTTTAGGGCATCTGTGATATCCGCCTGGAGAAATCCAAGTATGGTGTTGGGGGAGAGGTTGGGCTGGCAGTCCAACTGTGGATGTCAGTCAACAGTAGACCTGTGGCATTTGTAGCCTTGGGCCTGCGCGAAGCATCCAAGGGACAAGACTAAATGGAGAAGAGAAGAGGCCAGGCCTGTGCAGCTCAGCCTTCCAACAGTCAGAGAAGGCAGGCCTAGCCAGGGAGGCTGGGAGGGACTTCCATGAGTTGAGCCAGGAAAGAGCTTCAGGAGCAAGACAGTGAGACGCTCACAGAGACACGGCCTGGGAACAGACAGTGGGTTGCAGTCATGCCAAGGTCCCTATAACCAGGATAAAGGAAGGTAGGAGGGAGAGGATGGTGCCCCAGACAGACATGCCCTTACCAATATGGGGAGCTAGGTGTGGACATAAGTGTGGATGATAAGGAATGCCCTGGACAGGGCCCTGAGGTCCCCAGAGGAGACTGGAAAGGGGGAGGACCAGCTGACAAAGTGATCTCAGGTGTATCCCAAGAACGTGAGAACGCTAAGAGGGGTTCCCAAGGGAGTGGCTCCTGGAGCTGCTGGGAGGGGAGGCAGAGGCTGGGAGCTCAGAAGAGGGATGTGCGTCTGGCTCCAGGGTGAGAACAGGTCTGGCCTGATACAGCAGGAATTGGAATTGGACCAAGGTGCTGAGAGGTTTGGTGGTGGGAACAGCCCCCCTTGGACAGCCTCCATTTGCCAGTAAAACAGGCCAAGTTCACATTTGTGGTGGGTCCAGCATCCTGGTGGAGGGTTAGGGTGGGCGTGGCAGCAGGGTGGGAATGCAGGGCCTCAGACGCCAGGGCTGGCGCCTGCCAGACACAAAAGAGCCATCCAGGGAGGTCAGGTTTCATGTCAGCATGGGGAAGGGGAGGTGTTCCTGCCTCCAGGCACTTAGCAGAGCTGGGGCCCTCCACTCAGGGTCAGGCCAGGGCCAATAGGAGGGGCTATCAATTGTGGGAGAGTGTCTGTCTCCCCTTTGATTGGGGCTGATAAGGCAGGCGCCTGGTTTGGGGACCAGAAGAACATTCCCGGGAGGCTGGGAGACTAGGGTAGGTGGGGGTTGCCACCTGGAGGGACATCCACAGAAACAGTGGCTGGACTTTACAGCAGATGCTCCCTCCTCGGAACCCTGGGGAAACTGAGGCCCCATAGGAGGCACAGCAGGGTCTAGGACAGACCTCCATCACCAGTGCAGGCTTTTCCTGTCCAGTCTCAGATCCAGGGAAGGTCCACTTCTCTGACTTGGGTACCTGCAGACAGTTATTTATGGAGAGAAGCCCTGGGCGCCAGATGGTCCCAGGGGCCTAAAGATGCAGGCAGGCTGTGTGCTAGACACCAATGTCTGTATAGCTTCCTGTGCCAAGGAGCAGGGCCAGCTGGGCCCACCCTCTCTTCTGGGCCAAAGATGTAGCCGAAGGAGGGCCTGTGGTCCCTGGGCAAGGCGACAGTGAGCCCTGCTCCTCAAGCTGCCTCTCTGGCCGTGCAGCTCTGCCTGCTGCAGAGCAAGGAGCTCCAGGATCCCCAGGACTGGGGGCACCCAGAGGACCCCAGAATCTCCTGTCCAGGCCTCAGTGCCCACAAACAGGACAGTACCCCCTGCATGCCCACCAAGCCTGCTTCCTCCTCACAGGCCTCACATGCTAGGAGGCCCCCTCATCAGCCCCAGTGACAATACAGAAACCTGGGGTCATCCGTGCCACACTTCCCCAGCCCACTTGGAACTTGATGCTCCCATGGAATTCTTTTTATATATATATATATTTATTTTTGGAGAGGGGCAGAGAGAGAAGGGGACAGAGGATCTGAAGCAGGCTCCGCGCTGACAGCAGCAAGCATGATGTGGGGCTTGAGCTGACAAACCATGAGATCATGACCTGAGCCAAAGTTGGACGCTCAACTGACTGAGCCACCCAGGGTCCCCATCCAGTCCCTTTTCATCTCTGCAACACACCTCACCACCACTGCTGCTGGTCACCTCCTATTCGGGCTTCAGCTTCTCTCTTCCAGGGACTGGCCCCAGATCTCTGGTTCATCCATTCATTCATTTTCCTCCCTACCAGCCTAGATATTCTGTTAAGAGAGGAAAAGAGGCTGGTGGAAATGCTCCCTACTCCAGGAAGCCCTCCCTGAAGGGATCAGAGCTCACCTATCTTCACCTAGGCTCACCTAGGGCCCCATACACTTAATTTTTAAATGTATTTTATTCCAAAGGCAACACTTGCCTGTGGTAACAAACCCAAAGAATGAGAAACAAGGTGTTTGTGTACATGTTGGAGGCAGCTGTGTTTTCCTTTGACAATACAAGGCCACCCCCTCGTGACCCTGAACCTCCTCTGTTGGAGGCTTTTGCTCAGGGTCTGTGAGCTCCGTTCCCACCCCCTTCCAGCACATGGACCCTGAACTGCAGTGGGAAGGCCCTCACCACAGCCCCAGCCAGCCCCTCCCAGGAACAGCTGTGTCCCCGTTGGCCCTTCCTGTCTGGGTCATGGAGTATTTTTAGCACCGAATCCGGAACCTACTCACAGCAGCTGCTCAAGGCCAGAGTGCAAGAATGACAAACTGTCCAGGTGGGCTGTGTCAGGCTTGGGCCTGGTCTTCTGAGCTTGGTAGCAGATTCTAGGCTCTCTAGAAATTAGCAGGTCTCCGGCATGGGAGGTGGGGGATAGGGAAGGACGAGCTAGTCTGGGACAGAGGATGAGTAGCATTAGCCATGCCCAAAGGGGAAACAGCCTGTGCAAAGGTCCTGAGGTGCCGTGGTGGGGGTCCAGAGAGAAGCAGAAAGCATGGCAAGGAGGAGGAGCTGTGTGCAGTTTGAGGCTGAGCAAGGCTGTGTAGGCTGTGGTCTCCATCCCAAGGGGAATGAGGAGCCCTCAGAGTTTTCAGCATGGTGCTGAAGTTATGATCAGGTGGCAGCTCCCTGGAGGAAGAAGGAGACAAGAATAGAAGCAGTCATCTGTGTGGAGGAGGATGGCAGTGGCGGGGATGTGATGGAGTGAATGGGTCAAGGAGGGGGAAGCCACAGCCTTAGCAAGTGATTGGCAGAGGGGTGAGATGCGGGGGAGGGCCACGTTTCTGAGGGAGATCACCCATTGGTTTGGGACAGGTCGAATTTGGGGAGCTCTGGGCCATGACCGCCCCCAGGAAGCCCTGCCCTGGCCACCCAGCTTGGTCCTCCCAGCAGCCTGCCACCTACAGTGCTCCTCATGCCCACAGACATGCTGCACCATGCTCTCTGTCCCCGATGTCTGCTGTGGCACCAGCCACCAGAAGTCCTTGGTGATCTTGGAGCCTCAAGAAGGTGGAGACCTTCTCTCCAGGGCTGGATCCGCAGCCTTGGACCTGCCACCGAGACCTGACCTTGCCCGGCCCCCATCCCTGTCCATGAAGTAGGCTGGTCTCCCATATATGAGAAATATATTTTGGTCATCTGAATGACCAGATATATCTATTTCTTATAAATCATAGTATCATGGGGGCCTGGGTGGCTCAGCTGGTTAAGCGTCTGACTCTTGATTTCATCTTAGGTCATGATCTCACGCTCTGCACAAAGCCTGCTTGGGATTCTTACTCTCCCTCTCTCTATCTCTCTCCACCTCTCCCCTGCTCATGCTATCTCTGTCTCTGTCTCTCTCAATAAATAAATAAACATTAAAAATAATCACAATATTGGGGCACTTGGGTGGCTCAGTCAGTTAAGTGTCTGACTTTGGCTCAGGTCATGAGTTGGAGCCCTGCATGGGGCTCTCTGCTGTCAGGAAAGAGCCTGCTTTGGACCTCCTGTCCCCCACTCTCTCTGCTCCTCCCCTGCTTATTCTCTCTCTCTCTCTCTCTCTCTCAAAATAGATAAATAAACTTTTTTAAAAATTCAAAGGAGATTAGATTTTTTAAAAAATCACAATATCACACTGCCACCTTGCAAACTAGGTTACTATTACAGAGTGAGGAAACCGGCTCAGAGAAATTGAGTAACCTACCTGAGGACACTCAGCTAGAGAGGTAACAAGACACCAAGGCACCAGTGCTGGCTTGGCCACCAGGAGCGGTGATGCAAGGGGCTGCTGGGGGAGGCAGTGAGCTGTCCCCACTCTACTGTTGGGGCCCAGGGGGGTTCACCACAAGGAGTGAGGGGCATCATCTGCAGGTGCCTGTGAAAGGTGCCACCAACCAGCCACTGTCATGCAGCCTCAGACCCTTCTCCAGCCATAATTTGGAGGCAAAAGCTCTTTGCTGCCTCTGGACTTCTGGAAGTGTCTCCATAATGAGTCTCTCCTCCCTTAGTGATGCCCCCCTGATGAGCAGCTTGGGCCCCTGGCTCTTTGCCTGGCTCTGACCCTCAATGGTTGGATGAGCTGGGCCCTTCCCAGCCTCAGCTGCCGGGCCAGCCTGAGCTTGTGCCCAGCTGTCCTGATCCTCAGCAATTGCCCTTAATTCCCACTTCCTTCTGTGGCCACCGCGGGAATGTCAAAGCTACATCCCGCCAGCCATTCAGAGTCCCCAGAGTGCGTCTGGCGGGGCCTCCCCCTTCCTGGCCTCAGCTATTTTCAGGCTCAGCGCTGTGGGCGGTGTTTGGGAGAAGCAGATTATCTGCTTGGCAGAGTCAGCCAAATGCAGGGCCAGGGATGCCAGGTCACGGAGACAGGACAACCTCAAGACATGGTAAAAAAAAAAAAAAAGACTCTACAGCCACTGTGGGAGCTCCTGCCCAGGACCAGTGACTCAGAGCTCTGGGCAGGCGGAAGGAGAGGCTCGAAGGGCTGCAGTTCGGGAATGTCCCACCCGGCTTGCACCCACCGACATCCCTGCCAAGCATCCCTGCTCACAACATCCAGGCCAGGTGCTCCCCATGCCAGGTGTTGGCCAAACCACAGGGAGGGAACACTCATATACCAGCTGGGGCTGGGGGTGGGTTGGGGGGTGGGGCAAGAACCACATGTCTGACCCCCCGCCCCCCACCTCCCCGCTGGCCACACCATCAGAACTCCCACTCCCTCACCCTGCCCTTCACTCACAAGAGCTACCAGGGTCACTTTAACAAAAGAAATGCAAAGTTAAAGTTGCAAGATTATATACAGAAGGGCACATTTACTTAGAGAACTCAAACAAAACAATATATTCATAAAAGCTTATAAATACCACCCAACATCATAAAATCCAGGCAGATAATCCCTCTTGGGTCAGAAAACTGTGGCTAGGTGGTGTGCCGTGCCCAGGGTGGGCAGGGGTTGGTAAAGAGGCAGCATGCATTAGCCAGGCCCCTAATGTCCCCTCTGCACACCTGAGGAGGTGGGGAGGGCTCAAGCAAAGGGGTAAGGTGGACCCGGGAAGGGATGGGCTGCCTGTTAAGCTCCCACATCCCCACATGGTGATAGATGGCCCGGCCACAGGGGACTGGCCACTTTGGTGCCCTCCCCTCTCCCTCTTCCATGGGCTCTGTTGGGAGAGGTCCTCTCCTCACCAAGAAATTCAGGCATCGGTGCTTCAGACTCTGGCCTGACCACCCCCCACCCCCCACTTCTGCCCTTCCCCTCCAGATGTGGGCACAGCTGTATTTTTATAACAGCCAGCCACAAGGACATTCTTTCCTTCTAATTAAGATGGCTTCAGATTTCCTAGCCGCAATCAGTCTCATTGTTCAGTCCTCAAATATCAAAGGGTGACCATAACGGACAGCTGGTTGTAGCCTTGCCTTCCAAATTTATTTCCTTTCTTTCTCTTTCTTTCTTTCTTTCTTTCTTTCTTTCTTTCTTTCTTTCTTTCTTTCTTTCTTTCTTTCTTTCTTTCTTTCTTTTCTTCCTTCCTTCCTTCCTTCCTTTCTTTTTCTTTCTTCCTTCCTTCCTTTCTCTCTCTCTTTCCTTCTTTCTTCCTTCATTTCATTCTTTCTTTGCTTTCTCTTTCTTTTTCTCTTTCCTTCTTCCCTTTCTTTTTTTCTTTCTTTCCTTCTTCCATTTATTTCTTCCTTTCTTTCATTCTTTCTTTTTTTCCTCTCTCTCCTCCTTCTCTTTCTTTCTTTCTACTTTTCCCTTCTTCTTTCCTCTCTTTATTTTTTTCTCTCTCCCCTCCTTCCCTCCCTTCCTCCCTTCCTTCCTTCCTTCCTTCCTTCCTGTTTTGAACCATTAAATGAGAAATAAGACCCAGAACTGGAGTGAATGCCTGCTCTGAGGAGGAAGGTGAAGCAGGATTTGGGGTAGGGCCTGCAGGAGCTACCCCAGAACCTGGCCCTCTGCATCCCTGCCCCTGCTGGGGATGCCCCACTGGGCTCAGCCCCCTGTGTTCACACACCCAAGTGTAGGGCTTGTCTGGGACAAGTGTAGAGATCAGGAGAGGGCCTTCAGGATGCCCAGTGCAGGGAGGGTCAACATATACACATAAGGGCCTGAGGACACGATGCCTTCGCAGTGGGCAGGTCAGTTGTTATGATGTCCCCATTTTACAGGTAAGCAAACAGAGGCTCAGAGAGAGGAGGAGGTACCTGTTAGAACTGCAGGAACCCCATTTGTGTTGGCTGCAGCCAGGCCTCTAGAGGCATGGAGTGCTTGGTGGTGGCTCACTGTCACCCTAGCAGCCTGGTGTCCAAGGTGAGTAGGCCTCCTGACCTCTGCTGGCTTGGGAGGCTCCTGGTGTGGGGCAGAGATGTCAGTCCAAGTGGGAAGAACAGGAGGAAAGACTGTAAGGAGGAGGGGCCTTTGAGCGGCCTTGAGTGGCAGGGAGCAGCAGGCTGTTCCCCCTCTGCAGCACTTCCTGGAAACCTGACAGAGGAGGGAATGGGGGCTCAGAGAGGCCAAGAGGCAGGCCCAGAGAGGGCCAGCCATAAGTCAGGTGCTAAGTACCTCCCCCGCTCCCCCCCTCAGTGATGGACTGGTCTTCTTCCGGCCTGAGCCCTAGAGAAGAGGCCCGGGAGTCCGGGGTCCAGCCAGAGCCCTGGTCCCAGGGGAAAGGCCCTAGCCCCTACCACTGCCCCGCCCCTCATGGAGCAGAGAGGGGCGGCTCACCACCAGGGAAGAATTTCCGCCTAGCGCACTTGGTACGCCACAGGCTGGGTACGCAGGACAGAGGCGGTGAAATCACCTTAGGGTGGGTGGAGGAGGGAGGCGCCTGGGCTCCGGGACACTGGCCAGGGCTCAGGCGCCCAGGGTTTGGCGGGGTGGGGGGTAGCTCCATCCCCTGAAGTGCCACCGCACCAGGGAGAGCACTGACACAGGCCTCTTTGTTTCCCAGCCACAATGGAGTCCTCAGCGGTGGCCCAGCTCCATAGTGCAGGCTCCTGCACAGCCTGGGCTTTGTCGCCCCCTAGTGGCCGGAGCGGGTCTCGGCGGCGTCGCGTAAATCTCGGAAACCCAGAGGGACCGGGTAGGCTGAATGGGTCTCTGGAGGGTGTGGAGGCCAAATCCCTGGGACGCCCCTTGCTCCAGTGCTGGGACCCCAGGCTCGGGTAACAAGCAGAGGCGTTTTCTGGGACAGCACGGGTCGGAGTGGCGGCTCTGCCTCTCCTGCAGGGGTAAAGAATAGCGGAGCCAGCTGGCTTGGATTGGGGCGCGGACCCCCATTGGAGTTGTCGCCAACTAGCTTTTCTGTATTACTTTTAGTGTGAGCAGCACTCCTGCATGCTTCCTGCTGAGTACCAGGGGCAGATCCCCGCCCACTCTGAGCCTCAGTTTCCCTATCTGCAGAGTGAAAGGCCCTAGCTTGCAGGAGGGGGCGTGGGGGTATGGACTCGCATCACGGGGGAGGGCGATAGCCGCTCACTACTAGTCACCGGGTGCTGTGTTCCTGAGCAGCTGGTCGCTGTGGGCAGGTCACCCCTCCTTCCCTGCCCCTCACTTCTACCTTCTCAGGAAACCGACTAGGTGAGAACAAATGCAGAAAGCCAAGGGCTGGAAGAGTTGAGGGATGGTCTTTGGACACTCCCCTCAACTTATCTGTAGTTTGTCGGTGCTACTGAGTTTGGGCAGGTGCGGGGCGGAGGTGGGGGGTGGGGAGTGGGGGAGGGTGGGGTTTCTAGCAAGAGATCTGAGGAAGACCGCTCTGACTTCCACTTCCTGCACGGTTGTTGCGGGTCCATGCTTGACCTTGTGGAGTCTCAGGGACTCCTCCTCTGTAAAGAAGGCTGAAGCCACTCACGAATGGGTTGTTGAGAGGATTAGTAATTAGCACGGGGCCCCTAACTACTCAAAACTTCACCTTGATACTCAAGGTTAAACTCCCAGTTAATGTTTGCTGAGGAGAAACCTCAAGCTTCTTGGATTAAGGACAATAATTAATGCCTGGGGAACTCAGGCACCTGGGGGCTGACTGCAGTGAGATGTCCAGGTGACATTTCAGGGAGAAGGGAGGGGCAACCGAGTATGATCATGGCAGTGGTCCTGGACACAGAATGATAAACCCAGTTCTGAATTTGGTACTTAGCTCCTGCACACCCTTGAACTTTTACCACATAAGCACCATATCCCTACCTAAGACATAAGGTATGGTTTTGTTTATTCCCAAGTTTAAAATAAAGGCTTTATAGTCTGGGTGGCTATAGCTCAGTTGGTTGAGTGTCTGACTATTGAGTTTGGCTCAGGTCATGATCACAGGGTAGTGGAATGGAGCCCCATGACAGGCTCAGTGCTGAGTGTGGAGCCTGCTTGGGAGTCTCTCTCTCTCTCTCTCTCTCTCTCTCTCTCTCTCTCTCTCTCTCCCCACACATACACACTCTTCTCCCTTGCTGATGGACTCTCTCTTTCTCTCAAGTAAAAATATAAGAAAGAAAGGAAGGAAGGAAGGCTTTATAGTCTATGCAGTTTTCTGCAACTTTATTCAGGCAGTGTTAATGATTCACCAAATTTTATGTTACTGCTGTTCGTCTAGTTTGTCACTTTCCACTGATGAAGCCATTTTGGTGTAAACCACATTTATTTCTCTGTTTTCCTGATGATTGACATTGGGATTAAGTTTTCCAGCATTACAAACAATGCCATATTTGTGAACAGATGTTCTTTTTCTTTTTTTTTTTTTTTTAATGTTTATGCATTTTTGAGAGAAGGACAGAGCATGAGTGGGCTGGGGGGTGGGGGGGGTGGGAAGGGGCAGAGAGAGAGGGAGACACAGAAACCAAAGCAGCTCCAGGCTCTGAGCTGTCAGAGCAGAGCCTGATGGAGGGCTCGAACTCATGTACTGTGTGATCATGACCTGAGCTGAAGTTGGACGTTTAATCGATTGATCCACCCTGCCACCCCCAGAAGTTCTTGAGCATGGGATTAAGGGTTTCTCTAAACCAAACTCAGGAGTGGAACTGCAGGGATTGCTGTGTTGCTGGGTATTTGCAACTCCTATTTGGGTATGCCCAAATTGCTCTCCTCATTTACATTTCCATCAGCAGTAAGTGGTCCAACAGATTCATGCTACTTTGGAATTGTCAGAAATTAGCTGCTAGTCTGCTGTCTGAAACAGTACTCTATTGTGGATCCAGCTTGCATTTCCTGATTGCTGATACAGGCCAGCATCTTTTCATGGTTGTTTTTTTTGTTTGTTTGTTTTTTGGCCACTTCTGTTTCTTATTCTGTAAATTCCCTGTTCATAGACTTTGCCATTTTCTTGTTTTTATTGATATGTAGGACTTCTTTAGATAGTTTGAGAATACTATTACTTTTTTGGTCATATACTTGTGGATCCCTTCTCCAACTTGGTAGCTTTTAGCCTCACCTTTTTATGGTATCTTTTAACATAGATTTTTAATTTTAGAATTTCATTATTTATTTTCTTTTTTAAAGTAGGCTCCATGCCCTGCTTGGGGGCTTGAACGCATGATCAAAAGTCTCATGTTCTGACACTGAGCCAGCCAGGCGCCACTAGATTTTTATTTTTAATGATGTTAAATCCTCCTAAGAAACCTGTATGTTTTAGGGGCGCCTGGGTGGCTCAGTTGGTTAAGCATCCTACTTTGGCTCAGGTCATGATCACACGGTTTGTTAGTTTGTGCCCAGCGTCAGGCTCTGTGCTGACAGCTCAGAGCCTGGAGCCTGCTTCAGATTCTGTATCTCCCTCTCTCTCTGACCCTCCCCTGCTCTCTCTCTCTCTCTCTCTCTCTCTCGCTCTCTCTCTCGCTCTCTCTCAGAAATAAATAAAACATTAAAAAAAAAAAGAAACCTGTATGTTTTATTTATCGTAAGGTTATTGTAGAGGCCGCCTTTTAGGCAGCCAACTTGAGCAATGGAAACCTGAGTAAGGTAGAAGATTCTACAGTGACCCCCCTCTACCCGCTAGCTGGATACAAACAGGCCCATTAGGTGACCCACATCAAAATATCCATAAGCCCTAGCTGACCAATGGGTTACTTAAACCCAGGCACAGGTACCAAAAATAAAAAAGTCCATAGTTTCCATACCTCCCCCCACCCTTAACTACAGCCCCACCCTGCGCCCTCCACCTCTGGGCTGACAGTCTCTCCTTTGCCAAAGGCCTGCTGCTCCCTTGCAGCATATTCAGTAAATTCCTATCTCCTTTGTTCTGCCTTGGGTGATTTCTTTCACCCCCTAGGCCCCTGGCCTCCCCCCGACTGGGCCACCCCACAATTACAAAAATATTCACTTTCTTCTAAAATGGTTAAAGTTTGGGGTGCCTGGGTGGCTCAGTCAGTTAAGCGTCCGGCTTCAGCTCAGGTCATGATCTCAGGGTTCATGGGTTCCAGCCCCGTGTCGGGCTCTGTGCTGACAGCCAGCTCAGAGCCTGGAGCCTGTTCCAGATTCTGTGTCTCCCTCTCTCTCTGACCATCCCCTGCTCATGCTCGCTCGCTCTCTCTCTTAGAAATAAATAAATAAATAAATAAATAAATAAATAAAATAAAAATAAAATGGTTAAAGATTGCTTTTCAAATTAAGTTTGTAAGCACCCAGAATGGTTTGTACGTATGGAGTTAGTTAGAGATCCAATTTCATTTTTCCCCATATAATCAACTGTTCCAGGACTTTAGCCCATTGTTTCCCCACTGATTGAGGGGAAGAATAGTTTTTAAAAAAAATCTAAATAAAATATCAGCAACTGAAACCAACAATGTGTTAATAACAGTTACAACACTGGGAGCAAGCGGTGTTTATCCCAAGAATTAAAGGATCAATTACCGTTAGAAACTTTATTGATGTAGCTGAGCTTATTAACAAAGAGAAAACGGGTATGATCATCTCGACAGACACAGAAAAAGCACGCAACTGCTAGTATTTTATTTATTGTGTTATTCCTTAAAAGACGCATGGTGTTTTTAGAATTTTTTTTTTTTTACAAGTTCAGAGCCTCCAAAACCAAACAAAAACCAGGCATGAGCAAGAGAGATACTGCAGTCTCCATGCCCATGTATGTCCTATCACAGCCTTTGCTCTGATGGCTTCCTAAGGCCACTTTCAGGTATGTTTCTATGACCACAAATAGCATCTTTGGCAAGTCGGGTCTCGGTTTGGTCTTTATCCAACTCCTGGATTCCATGCAGGGCCTGAGAAGCCCTGGGAAATAAAAGATTAATCAGGCCCAGCGGACCCTGTGGTTCTCCACCTTTAAGGCCAGCCTCTCAGGCGATCAACCCGAAACCGGTTCTCTCCGCACCCCAAATCACTGGTTCTGCCAAGATTGACAGATGAGAACGCTCCAGAGACTGGTGGGTCTGCCCTTCGGTCCCTCCTAATTTCTACCCCTCCTCTAGGGAAAGGGTAGGGACGTCGGTGTAGAATCGAAGGTCGTGCCTGGGGACCTGGACCTCCCCGGGACCGGGGGCTCCCGGGCCCCGGGTGGTGGGCAGGGAGGCCTGAAAGGGGTAAAGGGAAGCGGGGCAGCGGCGGAGGTCCGAAGGGGAACTAGGGAGGGACCGGCAGAGATTCACTCCGGGGGCGGCTGCGGGAGAGGGAACGAGGATTGCGGGCGAATCTGGAGCGCTCCTGGGACCTCCGGGGGCGGCTGCAAGGGGTTGGCTGTGGTGACCTCGGACCAGAGCTCCCTTCCGGTTTGCGGACATGGGCCCCAGGCTTGGCCGACCAAGGAGTGTGTGGCTTTTCAGCCTCAAAGCTACGGAAGGGGAGAGATGGAATATGAACCGGAGCGAGCTTTACGTCCTAGGACCCAGGTGGCCTGCGGCAGCACCTCACACTTCTTAACCTCCCTGTGCGCCTGCGCATGTGTCTCGGGCGCGCGCCCCGCACCGAGGTACGCCGTGCGCGAGCCTTCCGCCTACCAGGGCGCCCTCAACGCCCACTGCGCCGGCGCATCCGCTTCTGGCTCTAAGATGACACACACTTCTTCGACGCCTACTGCGCACGCGCCGTCCTGCTGTTGCGCTCTCTTGAGACCCTATTCAAATAACTGCACCGCCCTCCTCTCGGCGCGCATGCGCTTCCACTCGCGCGCCTGCGGCCGCGGCGGTCCTAAACCAAAACGCTGGTCGGTTCAGGCCCCTGTTGCCGCAAATGCTGGAGAAATGTGTACGTGCTTGATGCCCGCCTGAGATTGGGAAAGATCTGAATTCCGAGACACGCCCGGCCCAGGTGTTTCAGACGAGGGATTGCAGACCGGCGTGAATGCACAGGCGCAGCCACTCTGGAAGGCTTAACGGAGGTGTCTGTACAAAAGTAGCTGGTGCTTGTACAGTGGAGTTAGGTGCTGGGCTCAGACGAACAGGAGGTTGCACGCTGGGATGGTCTGGGAGCCAGTGCAAGGTTGCATGGGGTCACGTGTCTGCAGGATCCCACGCTAGCATCCCTCCCTACGCCTGCGGTGTTCTGGAGTCCTTGGGCGTGTTGCGGGTCAGACACGCCCAGAGAAGCAGCAGCCCTTGGGCACTGACGGTCTCCGCCTCTTTGCCCGCTCCTGGGACTGTTTCCCACCCTCGCCTCACTCCCCAACCTTCAGATCCTACATGCTCCCTCTAAGCCCTGTCTTGGTGTCCTTCACAGGGAAATGGGAGCGGCCAGAAGAGAACGACCACACCACTCACCTCCCATCTCTGAGTGCCTTTCCCCCTCCCCCCAGTCTCCCCACTCCTCCGCCAACCTGCGCTGATTTCCTTCAGACATCTGCACGGCACATTCCCCTGCCTCCTTCAAGTCTTTGTGCAGATGTCACCTTCTCGGGTCTCATCTCTATTCCCTGACCACCCTCTCCAAACGCTTCCCCTCACCCTTCCCTGCTTCATGTCTCCATCACACCAGCTGACTTTGTATTTTCCTTATTCATTTGGTTATTGCCCGTCTTCCCCAGCTGGAGGGAAAGGGCTGTGTGGAGATTTTTGTCTACTGTTCTGGTTATATCCATAGCACCTAGGACCTTTGATGTACTGCCCTCAGTAGGGAGACAAGAAATGTTTGTTCACCGAATTGATAATCACCATCATAGCTAATGTCGGATGTTGTTCATGATCAGGCACAGGGCTCGGCACTCTCCGTGCATGATTTCAGTGAATTAAGTGCTTCCCTGCTATCTTGGAGACCTGCCAGCATCTCCTGCCTGCCGCATGAACTCAATTGTCATCAGGCTCTGTGTCTCTCTTTTTATTTATTTAAGTTTAGAGAGAGATCAGGCTCTGTGTCTCTCTTATTTATTTATTTAAGTTGAGAGAGAGAGCGTGAGCTGGGGAGAGGGGCAGAGGGGGAGAGGGAGAGAATCCCAAGCAGACTCCACGCCCAGCACAGGGCTTGATCACAACCTGGGATCACAAACTGAGCTGAAATCAAGAGTTGCATGCTTAACTGACTGAGCCAGGTGCCCCCCCCACCTCTTTTTTTTTTTTTTTTTTTTAGTAATCTCTGTACTCAACGTGGGGCTCAAACCCATGACCCCAAGATCAAGAGCCACATGCTCTTCTGACTGAGCCAGCCAGGCTCTGGGTCTCTTGTGCTTCCTGAAGATCTGTGTTAGTGAAATGCTCACCTCTATGCAGCCCACATGGAGCTTTAACATGATTCCAGTGAGACCAGAGTCCTGGGTCCTCACCTGGTTTCCTCCTGTGGCTTTCAGCTTGGAAGGAAGCTACTTAGGACTTATCGTAGGAACTTTGGGCAAGTCCTGTGATGGACCTTCTCCAGAACTGTGGCAAGATAGGATCCTGTCCCCCAAGAGTCTCCTTCTCAGCCTCCCCTCTGCCAGCACAATACCTCACCAAATGGAGAATGCACATCAGTCTTTTCCCCAGATGTATCTGCCCCCCAGCATAGTTTCTAGCTGGGATAGGCACTTGGTGTTTGACAAAATGAATGAATAGCCTTCAGGTTAATCTTTAGCTAAACATCCTTCTGCTATGAACTTGCATGTAAGTATTTTATTTATTTTTTTTTAATTTTTTTTGCATGTAGTATTTTAAAAACCATAAATTTGACTTGTAGGATGTCAGGTTTGCAGGATGATTTGCTAGAACGAGAAAGGCAGTATGATATTTACCGGGAGAAGACCAACGCTTTGATTTAAAAAAAATTTTTTTTTATGTCTTTATTTTATTTTGAGAAACAGAGAGCAAGCAGGGGAGGGGCAGAGAGAGAGGGAGACACAGAATCTGAAGCAGGCTCCAGGCTCCGAGCTGTCAGCACAGAGCCCGATGCGAGTCTCAAACCCACACACTGTGAGATCATGACCTGAGCCGAAGTCGGACGCTTAAACGACTGAACCACCCAGGCGCCCCCTCAGCGCTTTGATCTTTATGGTCAACTACTTTGCGAACACCTAGGAAAGTATTTGAGCAGTTCAGTGCTGTGCCTTTGGATCAGTGGAGAACCTTCAGCATATACTGAATTTTCAAAAATTTTAACAAGCGTGTTATTTTGTAATTAAAAAATTATAAAAGGGAAAATATTAATAAGATTGTGAGTCCCTAAAACATAAACCAACCTAATGGGATGGGACCTAAGGGCTCTGAGTTCTTGTGGCTGGGTACTTTGGAGAGTTCTCCCTTCATCTCTAAGGGTGTGGCACAGGGACGAAAACTGTTCTTTATTGTACCAAGGATGTCTGGCGCACATGTACCCTGGCTGTCCCCCAGGCCAGGGGTAGGCATTACCATCTCCAGGTCTAGTAAGACAGTGACTCAGGACAAGGGAGTAAGGGCAGAACTGGCATTGGGACTAAAGCACTGCCACCAGCTGTGGCCACTCTCTGCTGCTTCCTGTGCCTCGCAAGTCCCCACATGTGTAGGTCCGTGTGGCCCCTTCTGTTAGTCTTATTGCGGAACTGGCTGGCAGGTAAGAGAAGAAGGCGCAGCCACTCTGTTGGAGAATGTTTTGCTAGGGTTCAGTCCTGCATGGGACAGAGTTTCACGGTCCTGGGGCCCCAGCTCCAAGCGCTGTGCTCTGGAACCACAGCAGGGCTGCCCAGGGACAGCCTTGCAGGGAGGACCGGAGCACTATTGTTCATTTCAGGAAAATGCTCATGGGGGAGAGGGTGGAGGGTGAGGCGCCAGCGGGGACCTGGACTCAGAACAGAAGGCTGGGCTTCCTGTGCTCCTTGCCAGCCATGTGACCTAGGTAATTCCTCTCCTCCTCTGTGCCTCAGTTGCCTCATCTGCAACGTGGGAGCATCACCGCCTGGTTCAAATAGATTGCAGTGCTGTGAGTGGTAGGTTCCAGCCCTGGGAGGGAGCTGGAGGCTGCTAAAGGTCACTCTGTGTCCTCCCTTCTCTCCTCAGATTCAGGGCAGGGTCCTGCTCCTGGCCATCTGTGCGGCTGGCATTGGTGGGACTTTTCAATTTGGCTACAACCTCTCCATCATCAGTGCCCCGACGTTGGTATGTATTCTCTGTGCCCACTGTCACCATCCCAATGGATGCTGGGTGAGGGCCACGAATAAGGACAGACTCATCCACCTGAAGTTCAAGGCCTCCTTAGATCAGAACCTGTCCACCTATCTTCCACCTTTATTCCCTGAACTCCCCTAGCAAAGCAGGTTAAATGCAATTCCTCAAATGCACAGAGCCCTCTCTCTAAGCCTCTTCGGTTTGGAAAGCCCTCTGCACTGCATCTGCAGAAGCCCTTCGAGAACCACTCAAACACCATTGCCTTCCTTCAACAGTCTCTGGCTGGAAGTCACCCCTCCATCCCCAGCCCTCCATGCTGGCTGTCACCATTCAGGTGACATGTTGGTTGTTTGCAACCTCCTGCTGGTCTGCTCTCAGTGTCTGAATCAATCATCTCTGTGCCCCCTGATGCCTGACGCTGACCTGGCCCATGTTGATGTTCAGTGGTGACCATGGAGAGGGTGACTCTTCCAGCCCATTGGTAAAAGCTGGCCTGTAACTTAAATCAGAAGGGCGAGTGTCCCGTTACATAGCTGGGAAGGCCCTGGGGCTGCACACTGGGGGTGCAGGGGAAAGAGCCGCAGGAACGAGGTCCTAGGACAGAAGTGCCGCTGTCTTCTCCCTACCTGTCCTCTTCCCCCTGCCCTCTCCACCCAGCTGTCACCAGACTGACTTTCTGCCAGCTGGAAACCCCCAAAGAAAGTCCTCCCTAGTAGTTCCAGCTGAAAGGTCTGGGAAGACTCTGATTGGCTGATTTGGATCACATCCAGGCCAATCATGTGATCAAGAGGTGGAGCACTTCCATTGGCCAGTCTGAGTCAGGTGACCATCTTTATGGGGACAGGAGAGGCTGTAACTGGGGATGGGCAGAAATCCCCAGAGGAAGGGATGGTAGCCTAGCAGAAGCCAGGGTGGGACCACATTCTGGCCAGAAACAGTGACAGCAGCCCAACTCCTTAAAGAAAGGATGGAATGCAGGGTTTACAAAGGGAGGTCCGAGCTAGCTGTGTTTGCTTGTTTGTTTGTTCATTCAACGCACATGCCAGTGCCCACTTCCCAGCTAACATACAGGCTGGAGAAGGACCCACCTGCAGCAGGCTCTCTTGCGCCTTGTCTCCCATGGGCCATCTCCAGCCCCCCAAAATAGAACTTTCTTGGCCTCAGAGTCTCCTCCTAATCCCCTGGATGGTCATTCTTGAGGAGTTCCCGCCAAGGGCAGGGAGGCTGGCCCTGGTCCTAGCTCCCCTGGACTTTCCCCCAGAGGGAGCTGATGGGTATCAGGCCTGACAGCCATTACCCTGAGCTGGCCTGAGTAGTGGAGAGCTAGTCCAACCCTTAAACTCGCTGCCCTCCTCACATTCTCCCTCACATCCTGTTAGGATGCCTGCAAGTGAAGTGTGCCCAGGTCTTCCCCAAGTGCAATCATTCCTAACCATGTAGATGCCATTCACTTCCCCGGAACTGCAGCTCTGGGAATGGGGCCCTGGGGTGTCCCAACTACCTGGCTCCAGGCCTGACCTGTGGCTGAGGCTGTGGGCAAGTCCTTTCACCTCCCCAGGCCTAGTCCCAGTCTAAACAGTGAACAAGAGTAATGAGTATCTAACAGAATACTTCTTTTTTTTTTTTTTTTCTGAGAGAGAGACACACAGCGTGAGCAGGGAAGGGTCAGAGAGAGAGGGAGACACAGAATCTGAAACAGGCTCCAGGCTCTGAGCTAGCTGTCAGCACAGAGCCCGACGTGGGGCCTGAACCCACGAACCGTGAGATCATTACCTGAGCCAAAGTCAGACACGTAACCGACTGAGCCACCCAGGTGCCCCTCTAACCGAATACTTCTAAGGGCTGTCAAAGTCGGGATCCCAGGGAAACAAGTGGCACGCTCCAGATAAACCGAGCAGATTTAGACACCACAAGGGATGATTTACAAAGGTTGAGTGGGGCAGAGAGAACACACAAGACCGGGGAGAGCCCAGTAATGCCAGAGTCATTCCTACCTCTACCCCCAAAGGGACTCGTGCAAGGAGCCATTACCGAAACTGGAAGGAAAGAGCCATGTGAAGGAGGGCCCCTTGAGAGGAGCAGTGACCTTTGGTTGAGTGTCACAACCAGCCTGAGGTGACCTGGGAACAGACATCCCTTCTGCTTCTCTCTGATGCCCTGCTGGTGCTCACCATTGGGCAAGTCCAAGTCTGATAGAAAGCCAGTCAGCAAGGAGCCCACTGATACAGGCGGATTCTTGGACCAAACGCAGGGGGACGGGTGAAGTGGACTCTGAAGGGCAAACAGAGACTGTTCCTGCCCCAAGGCTGGGGAGCAGTATTGCTCAGGAGACTTGGTGCCTGCTCTGCAGAGGCAGAGCCCTGTAGGGGAGAAGGCCTGTCGTGTCCAGCCTGTCCCCGGGAAGCTGACCGATATCTCTGTCCACAGCACATCCAGGAATTCATCAATGAGACATGGTGGGTGCGAACTGGCCAGCCATTGCCCAACCACCTAGTTCTGCTTCTGTGGTCCCTCATTGTGTCTCTGTACCCCCTGGGGGGCCTCTTTGGAGCGCTGCTTGCCGGGCCCCTGGCCATCATGCTGGGAAGGTAAGTGCTTTCTGGGGACACCCTGAATGCCCTTTGGTGAGAGGCGCCCCAGTCTCTAGGCTGAGGAATGTGGGAGAAGGAAGATGCCCTGTAGGCCCAGGCCTAGGTCACTCTCCAGCCTCTTGCTCCACCTGTACTTTCACCATGAGAGTTAAATTTTCAAGTGGATTTGGTAGAGGGAAGAGCCCTGTGTCCTGAGGGAGGGAAGATTCCTGGTTTCCAGTTCCACATCTTGAGCAAGTGATATTGGACCATAAGCAAGTATTTCCTCTTCAGGCCTCATTCCCTTCTCTGTATCCAACTGATACAGTTCTTGGGGTACAAACAGGACAGACATGCTCATTGATTTCATTAATTAATTGATTGATTAACTCATTAACTGGTTAATCAATCAATTAGTTAATGAAAGGGGTACCTGGCTGGCCCAGTTGGTAAAGCACGTGACTCTTGATCTCAGGGTCGTGAGTTTGAGCCCCACGGTGGGTGTGGAGTCTACTTAAAAAATTTTTTAGGTCTCCTTGGGTGGCTCAGTCAATTAAGACTCTGACTTCAGCTCAGGTCATGATCTCACAGTTCATGAGTTACAGCCCTACATCAGGCTTCTCTGCCATCAGCACAGAACCCACTTTGGATCCTCTGTCTCCCTCTCTCTGCCCCTGCCCTGCTCGTGCCCTCTCTCTCCCTCTTTCCCTCTCCCTCAAAAATAAATAAATATTAATAAATAATTTTTAAGTTTTTATTTATTTAAGCAATCTCTACATCCAGTGTGGGGCTTGAACTCACGACCCTGAGATCAAGAGTCACACGCTCTTCCGACTGGGCCAGCCAGGTGCCCCTTAAATAAAAAAATTTTTTAGAGGGAGGCAAACCATAAGAGACTCTTAAATGCAAAGAACAAACTGAGCATTGCTGGAGGGGAGGGGGGCATGGGCTAAATGGGTGATGGGCATTAAGGAAGACACCTTTTGGGATGAGCGCTGGGTGTTATATGTAAGTGATGAATCACTAAATTTTACTCCTGAAACCTTGACTTTAAATAACATTTTTTAAAAAATGAAAATTTTTAGAAGTCTTTTTAAAAAATTTTTTTAATTTGTTCTTTATTTCTGAGAGAGAGAGAGGCAGCGTGAGCAGGGGAGGGTCAGAGAGAGAGGGAGACACAGAATCCGAAGCAAGCTTCAGGTTCTGAGCTGGCAGCACAGAGCCTGATGTGGGGCTTGAATCCACAAGCTGTGAGATCATGACCTGAGCCAAAGTCGGATGCTTAACTGACTGAGCCACCCAGATGCCCCAGAAAAAAACTTTTCAAAAAAGGTGCCATGTCTCATTGCCCAGCACTGGGCCACTAGCATAGAGAACAAGATCACCAAGACTAGGTTAGATTGTTGGGTTCACACCTGAACCTTAAGGGGTAGGGGTACATTCCAAACAAATTTAGGCTCTTCCTGAAAAATAGATGAAATTAACCATTATCTGATCATTGTTGCCCAAATACCTAATAAGACCCGGTACAGTGTCCTTACGTGATAGCACTGGGAGAAGGCTGAAGGGAAGGAATTGAAAATTCAAATTCAGCACACATGCCTGTTTCAGTTATAAAAACTTGCTGTCCCATCCCCACGGCGGGGACTCAGTGGAGTTCATCTTCCACCCAGTGGCAGACTGAAGTCCTGACCTGTGTTGCCCTTTCTAGGAGTCAGGGTTGGTGTGTAGGGTGGCAAGGTGGTTAGCCTGGAGACGGGAGGCCCCTATCATTGATTCCGTATGCATTTTCTTTTTTTAAAACTTTACTTATTTATTTGGAGAGAGAGAGAGAGACAGCTCACAAGAAGGGAAGGGGCAGAGAGAGAGAAAGGGGTAGAGATAATCTCAAGCAGGCTCCACGCTCTCTGTGCAGAGCCTGACATGGGGCTTGAATCCATGAAACATGCGATCGTGACCTGAACCGAAATCGAGAATTGGACACTTAACCGACTCAGCCACTCAGGTGTCCACCATGTGCATTTTCTATCCTTGTGATTCTGTCTGCTTTATGAGGCAACGGAGTGATCACTGGGTGGGCTGAGGAAGGCTGCTGCATGCTATCCCAGAGAGGGTCGTTCTGTCTGCTTGGTTTTTAAGAGCCTTTTCTGCAGTGGCAGGGGGATTCTGGTGAGTGGAAACAGGGATGTATATAGGTTCAAGTTTTGGGCTAATTCTGAGAGATCCATCTGTTTAACTTTCCCTACACCTTCTTGAAACAAGTCTTCGAATCCTGCTTCATCCAAGACTTTGATTATCTGAACAAACTCTTTGGAAAAGGGGACCAAATTCCATGCTCACGATTCTGTCTACGGAAGGGTTTCACTCTTCCAGTATCTTTTAGGGCCACATCTGAGAGTCCTTTAAGGTCATAGCCCTACATTTCTGGCAAGAAGTAATGGGCAGAGTCATCTGCAAACCAGGGTCAAGCTTTGTTTTGTTTTGTTTCAAACCGATGACAAGAGGGGCACCTGGGTGGCTCAGTCAGTGGAGCGTTTGACTCTTGATATCAACTCAGGTCATGATCTCATGGTAGGGGAATTGAGCCCCATGTTGGGCTCCACACTGAACTTGGAACCTGCTTGGGATTCTCTATCTCCCTCTCTCTGCCCCTCCCCCATGCTCTCTCTTAAAAATAAACTTTAAAACAAAAAAACTGAAGACAAGAAAGAGACTCTGGTGTGCTTTGGGAGAAGGGTGGTTATGTGGTCAAGTAGGCATGCTGACATGAGTAAGCTGCTCATAAGAACCTTTGGGGCCACATGGGGCATCACTTAAATAGCAATTGAATGCTACTGGGTGCACTCAACCTTAGCATAGGAGTGTCATATGGCACCCAGTGCATGATGGGTACATGGCCGCTGGGGGTCCTACAGCTTGGTGTTTATTCCCCCACAAAAGCCTACTGACAAGGCCAGAGTTATTCATAATTAAGAGGCTGGTAATTCCCTGAAGTAGAGTGGTTGTACTCCAAAACTCTAGGTCTTGGATTGTGATTCTTCTTTTAGACAACCGCCACAGTCACTTGGAACATTACAGGGTCTCCTAGGTCTAAAGGGGTGAGTGGCAGAGCTCTTTGCACTTAGTTTGGACTCCCTAGAGAATACCCTTCTTGCTGAGCTCTGCCTGAAGCTGCCAGGTTTTCAAATCAACTGTTGGATGTGCCAGATCAGCCTGTGTGGTGCAGGCTCCCTCCAAAATGGGAAGAAATCCTCTGAGATTTGCCCATCATTAGAGGGCAGGCCGAGAGTTCTCGTGCATTTTGGAGGAAATGTAATGACATATCTTAGCCTGTTGAACCTCAGGAGCTCCATTGGGCAGCGGCCCCTTCATTTTTCAGTTTCTACTCTTTGTCATGCTTGTACCTTACAAGACCTCTAGTGCCGTTCTCCATGTCCTTTCAGTATAAAGTCATCAAAGACGTGGGCCAGCAGGATGCCCTGTGGGACGAGTAACTCCCTATGGAAGGCATTGTGGCCCAGAGCTGGAGAGCTCTGAGGCCCTAGCCTCAGGCAGGTTGGTAAAGGTGTGTTACTGCCCCTACTAGGTGAAAGTGATGTATATTGAAATGAAGCAAAATGCATTTACCAAATAAATACCCCACAGTTGAAGTACTTTATTAATTTACACCATGGAGGAAGCCATATCGTTTTCTTTTCTTTTCTTTTCTTTTTTACATATGGTTTTCAATTGGAGTTACTGCTGGATCAGGTTCGTTATAATGTTCGTCATTCTCCATTCTCTCTGCCCAGGAGATCTATGCTTTAGTTCACATTCTGTCACCGGTGTGCTGTTGACTTTGGGCAGAATACTGGCCTCTACTAGGTCCAGTTTCTCTGTCGGTGCAGGGAGCTGTGTGATCTGCAGTGAGCTCTCTCAAGTAACTGTGTGACAGCACTTCGTGCTCAGTATCAGGAATCCCAGAGCCGATGCCTCATCATGGTGGAGCAGCTGGCATTTCCAGTGCCTGCTCCCTGGTTCGCAGTATGTCCCACTGAGCTAGGCCTGGGCCACCCAGCCATCCTGAAAGTTCTGAGAAGTGATTCTATTATACATGGAAGAAAACGTGAGGGAACAGTACTTGGTTTTCCATGCATCCCTTCCTTTACTCTCAAAGTCCCTGCTCTTCTTCTCTACGGTTTTATTGTGTCTGAGAAATCAGATGATAGGCCCCTCATTTTACAAAGGAATAGGAAGAAAGCAGCGCTTAGTGTGAAGAGATAAAGCTATAAGACTCAAATTTTGCACACTGTGGTGCAGGCAGAAAGGAGAAGCACTTCGGGTCTCTTGGCAGAGGGGTGTGGCAATATGCCCCTAGGTACAGTGGCTAATGGTCGTGTCCCTTCGTGTAGCTTAGACTCCTGACACAGCTCACACATGTGCGCACACAGGTCTGACTGGGGTTGGCTGGAGCTGCAAAGAGGCACCACCAGGGGGAGTTCCCCCAGACTGGACATGAGCCTCTCTTGCCTGTATTCTACTCCCTCCCACAGGAAGAAGTCCCTCCTGGTGAACAATATCTTTGTGGTGGCCGCGGCGACCCTGTTTGGCTTCAGTCGCAGAGCAGGCTCCTTTGAGATGGTCATGCTGGGCAGGCTGCTCATGGGAGTCAGCGCAGGTATGGTGGGAGGGCAGCCCATCCTGCCTCTCTCTTCCTGCTCATTCATGTATTCCATTTATTCATTCATCTCTTCTCTTTATTTCTTTCATCCATTCATGTATTCTCTTTCTTCACATTTTTAAAAATGTTTATTTATTTTTGAGAGAGGGAGGAGAGAAAGAGCACGAGCAGGGAAGGGGTAGAGAGAGAGGGTGACACAGAATCCAAAGCAGGCTCCCGACTCTGAGCTGTCAGCACAGAGCCCAACGTGGGGCTCAAACTCATGAACTATGAGATTATGACCTGAGCAGAAGTCAGACGCTTAACTGACTGAGCCACCCAGGCGCCCCATTCACATTTTTCATTCATGCCCACCTCTTCTTTTGCAAAATGATTAAATATGGTTTATCTAAAAAAGGCTTCTATAACTAGACACTTAAAGTGGATACAGAAACAAGAAAACGTTTCTAAAATTCACACAGAGTGTGAGTACAAACATCCCCAAACCTGTGCTAGCGGAGGTGCCATATTTGAGCCACACTCTAAGCCATGAGCTTCCTGGCGGCCAAGATACAAAGGATGCATTCTTGGGTTTTCACTACAGAGGCAGAGTAGGCTGTTTGAGACTCCTCAGTTTCTGGGGCTTGTCATGTGAGGAAGTAGAGTTTTGAGCATGCCCACCTGGGCGTTTAGGGCCACCCATCAACAAATCCCCTCTTGACTCAGTACTGTTTATATGGCCAGATCTCTATGTCTATATTAGTTATCTATGCCTGCAAAAGAAAGTACTCTGAAACTTACAGGCTGTGTACACATCTAGGTGTGAGCATCAATGTCCAGCCCATGTACCTAGGGGAAAGTGCCCCCAAGGAGCTCCGAGGATCTGTGGCCATGAGTTCAGCTGTCTTCACTGCACTGGGGATCGTGATAGGCCAGGTGGTTGGATTCAGGTAAGCAACCTGTCTCCATGTGCACTGAGTGGTTTGAAGGGTGCCAGTAAAAGCCCTTTGCCTAAATTTCTCCTCCATCCATTAAGTATTAAGGCATTGCTTCTTTGTATTAAGGAATCTTTGTTTTGAAATCCTGTCTACACCCATCTGACCAATACATAAAACAGGTGTTAGTCAATGTGAATCACCATTTTGCATACTCTCCAGTTCAAGGAGCAAAGAACAGGTCTTAACAAGGGAGAGGGTAAAGATTTGGGCTTTTAAAGGGGAGCATGTCCTGGTCATCCCAGAAAAGAGAGGAGCGGGCAGAGCCCAGAGCCCTGGGAAGAGGAGTTGCTTTGGATAAGGTTGGGGCAGTCCCTGGAGGGAGGGATCTTGGTGTCCAATCCAGAACTGGTTTGAGGAAACAGAGAGGATTGCAGATCCTCTGCCTTCAGCAGGGCAGGCAGAGGCCAGGTGGGTGGGTTAGGGAGTAGGGGGCAAGTGGGCAGGGCTCTGGCAAGGAAGTACCTGGCCTGGCCTCTCTTTTGCCTCCCCAGGGAGCTCCTGGGGGACCCACAGGTCTGGCCCCTGCTGCTGGCCAGCTGCCTGGTGCCTGGGGTGCTCCAGCTTGCCTCCCTCCCTCTGCTCCCTGAGAGCCCACGCTACCTCCTCATTGACCGTGGAGACATGGAGGCCTGTCTGGCAGGTGAGTCCTTGGGTCCCCAGACCACCCTTGACCAATGGGCACATCTATCCAGAGTATGTGAGTCCCCATTTCTTGGGTTTCATTTATCAGGAAAAAGCTGTCCCTCCTTTTTGTGACATCCATCCATCTCTTCAAAACTCTTTACCAGGAGGCTGTCCTAAGTGCCAAGGCAGTGGGATAGAGCAGACCCGGCCCCTGCCATTCAGGAACTGCAGGATGGTAGCAATAAGGAGCCCCCTACCCCAACCATATATGCAAGATGAAACACGGTGTAAGACCTCGCAGGCCCAAGGCCAACGGGGTGCTAATGGGCTTGTTCATTAGCTATGGCCATGATAATGGTGTCCAAGGAACAACACCAAATCTCTGGCTTGAAACAATAATCATTTACTGCCTCCTCCACTCACGTACTTGCTGGGCTGGCTGCATGACTGCTGATTTCAGCTGGGTCGGCTCATGGCATCTGGGAACCAGCCAGAGGTTAGCCAGTCCATGCTGGTCTGGGCTGGAGTAGTTCATCTCTGCTGCACATGCCTTTCCTCTCACTCTTAGTACCAACGGGCTAGCCCAGGAATGTTCTTATTACAGCGACGGCAGAGGCACAAGAAAGCAGATGCAATTGCAGAAACACTTTTCAAACCCATGTTCCTCCCCACCGTGCCCATTACCATTCCATTGGCCCAAGAGAGTCCTGTCCCTGAACCCGAAGTCAAGAGACGGAAAAACCAATGGCATATCCTCTCACATGGCAAAGGGTTTAGATTTGGAGAAGGGTGAAGACCAGGGCCCGCTCATGCACCCTCTCAGCTTGCCATTGTGGCCACAGCTATTACTGATATCCCTCCCCTGTCCAAAACGTGCTCAGTGTGATCCAGGACCCCACAGTCTCATCCAATCATGGCATCAGTCTTGAAGTCTAGGATCTTAGGATCACATCAAGTCTATACATGCCTTCTCTTGATCCCGAGACCTAGGCGCTAAAAACACAAGTCTGCCCCTCTGAACTCTGCACACAATGGTGAAAGTAGGACAGAGCAACCAGAACTAACCCTCATTTCCAAGACAAAGAGTCAAGGAAGCAGGAACAGAGTCCCCAAGAAGCGCTCTTGGGAAAACACTGCCAGATCTCCCTGCCTTGGGGGTAGGGAATGTTCCTTGATCAAGTCCTGGCTCTGGCCCCTGGTAGGGGCTCCCTAGGCCATGGTTTCCCCAGGTTCTTGCTTCTTCCCTCTGAGATCTCCTTCCTGGACACCTTCTGAAGAGGGCACTGCAAATGTACCCAGAGAAAGTTGGGTACATTCCAATTGTCTTGGTCCCTTTTTCTCCAGGCTGGCAGAGCTTCTGTCAATATAATTTTCTCAAAAACGATGGGATTTTCCTGTGTATTTGATCGACGTGCCAAAAAGCCACACCCACTAGTCTTTCTGAGGCATGCTTCTCTCTTGAGACCGACTACTGGAATTTGGGGCAAGTTGGGCTGCTGGAGACCAACACCCTTAAGCCTTCCAAATGCCCCTTTGCCGGCTGCAGTGAGTCACTGCATTAAGCCACACCCTTAATTTGATTGTTACCCTGCGTCCATGGCTCCTGGGCAGAGGTGTGGATTTATCTTTGCTTTCCGGCTATAACTTAATGTGGGCCTGTTTTTGCCAATCGGAGAGGCTAGAAATGAGAAACAGGTTTATTTTGTTTGTTTTTATTAAAAATATTTTAAATGTTTATTTATTTTTAAGAAAGACAGAGTGTGAGCAGGGGAGGGACAAAGAGAGAGGAAGACACAGAATCCGAAGCAGGCTCCAGGCTCTGAGCTGTCCGCCCAGAGCCTGACGCGGGGCTCGAACTCACGAATTGTGAGCTCATGACCTGAGCCGAAGTCAGTTGCTTAACTGACTGAACCACCCAGGCACCCCAATGTTTGTTTTTTATTAAGCTAACCTAGTGAGTTACAAAACAAGTTAAATTTAATTAAATTTAAAATTAAAGAAGTTAAATTTTAATTAAAATTTAATTTAAAATTTAAAAAATTTTCCCTCCAAAGGTCTTTTGAGCTCATGTTTTAATATGGTAAGCTTAGACTACTCGGCTAACAGCAACCAGCCCATGCTTTTAGCATATAGAGATCTCTTCACTCCAGTCCAGAAGTTCATTAGGTCTGTTTGTTTGTTTGTTTCCACACTACTGCCCTGCACACCCAGGCTTCCATTTTTCCAGCCTCCTCACCATCTTCTGCCTGGTCTTGGAATCAGTACCATAGATTACAGGTCTAGTATGGTAGCACCTACCCCTGGTATCAGTTAATTTATCAGTTTTCTATTGCTGCCTAATAATCACATCCCTGTGGCAAACCAAAGAAACAATTACTTAGCTCAAGTGTCTGAATTCTCCGGGGTTGACTGATATAGGCTGTACCTGGCTGGTGGCTCTGCTGGTCTTGGTCGCTCATGCAAGTCAGCTGGGCTTTAGCAAAGTTAGGATGGTCCCAGCTGGGCCATCTCTGCTCCTCCTGGGACCAGTGGGCTAGTGCCACCAAACGTCTTTATGGTAAGGGGAGAAAAGCAAGTAGAAACAGCAAGGTCTCTTAAGGCTTGGGTGGGAATTTGCATACCCTCTTACTACCTCATTCTGTTGGTCAGAGTGAATTACATGGCACAGCCTAGTGCCTAGGGGCAGGATGCATTCTTGCCCCTTTGTGGGGGCAGCTGCAAAGATCACCTAGCAGAGAGCCTGGATACAGGGAAGGGTGGAGAACCAGCGACGTTGGATAATGGCCATCTGCCACAATTGTGTCCCCTCTGATGTATCCACAGAACCCCTGGCTCCTAAAGCCTTTTCTGGTTCTTGATGCCCTGAAATGACAAGGGACAAGAAGATCATCCCCATCTGATGGGGGGGTGGGGAGGATGGCGGAGAGAACGTGAACGGACTTGGGGATGGGAGCTCATTGCAGGGCACCAAGGACAGGCTGGGGGAAGGGAGGCTCAGCACCCTGCGTCCTTGTATCCTGCCCCAGCGCTGCAGCGGCTGCGGGGCACAGTGGACGTGGCGGGTGAGCTGGCCTATCTGGAGGAGGAGCGTACCGCCTGCCAGGGCCGGCGCGCCCTGCGCCCGTGGGAGCTGTTCCAGGATCGCGGGCTGCGGAGACAGGTGATGAACCTCACGCTGCTGGGCAGCGCCATGGAGCTCTGCGGATCCGACTCGGTGAGGCCCCCTCCGCGTCCCCCCTCCCCCCGCCTGGGCGGGGGTGGGAGGGCTGCAGACTGAAGGCGCCTGGCAGCCCTCCCCTCTGCCGCCTTGTCCAGATGTACGCCTACGTCTCCTCGGTGTTCCGGGAGGCCGGGATCCCTGAGGGGAAGGTCCAGTACGCCATCGTGGGGACTGGGAGCTGCGAGCTGCTTGCGGTTTGCCTCAGTGTGAGTTTGTCTGAGTTTATAGTGGGCCTGGGGGCTGAGCCTCCACCAGCCCTGTGGGGGTGGGGAACGCGTCTTCGCTGACACCTGGAGAATTTAAGTCTTCTACCTTGGGCCCTTTTTCACTCTAGGTCACTATGCTCAAATGGGGGGAGTCAGCCAGCATTTTAAGTTTATTTATTTATTTATTTATTTATTTATTTATTTATTTATTTAGAGAGAGCACGAACAGGGAGGGGCAGAGAGAGAGAGAGAGAAGTAGAGACAGAGAGGGTGAGAGAATTCCAAGCAGCACAGAGCTGTCATCACAGAGCTCAATGTGGGGTTTGAACCCACGAACCTTGAGATCATGACTTGAGCCAAAACCAAGAGTAGGGTGTTTAACCCGCTAAGGCCCCCCAATAATGTCTTAATCCTCTGAAGCAGTCAACTGCTCCTAACTGCCTCCTCACAAACACCTCCAGCTGCCCACTGCTCATCTTTAAACCAAGGGAAGCATGCTTCCAGCGCAGAGGTCAGTTACTGAGGGCTCCTTTCCTTTACAGTGTGCAGTGATCGAGAGGGTGGGCCGCCGGAAGCTGCTGATAGGGGGGTACTCTCTGATGGCCTGCTGCGGAAGTGTCTTTACGGTGGCCCTGTGCCTGCAGGTAGCTGGGCTGGACATGAGGGTTGTGGCTTGATCCCCTGTGACCTGATCCCCACCTCACTCTACCCCCTCTGCCCCTTTGCTACAGAGCTCCTTCCCCTGGATGCCCTACCTGGCCACATCCTGCGTCTTTGCCTTCATCCTCAGCTTTGGCATTGGCCCTGGTGAGTGGGCCTAAGGAACTCTGCGCTCTGGGCTTTGCCAAAGGAACGCGGATGTCTTGGTGAATGATGAGTGGATATAAATGCGATGTCACCTGCACGCCCCGCCACCCAGCCCCCCTGTACTGGGGCTTCTGGGAAGGAGTGGCCCCCACTCCCATGTCAGGGACAAGGTGGCGGCCCTGGCTGGCAGCCCCTGTCCCTGCCCTTCCTTCTAGCCGGAGTAACAGGGATCCTGGCCACGGAGCTGTTTGACCAGAAGGCCCGGCCTGCTGCCTACATGGTCTGCGGGGTGCTCATGTGGGCCATGCTCTTCCTGGTCGGGCTGGGGTTTCCCTTCATCGTGGTAGGCACCCTCCCCACCCCGCTCTTGCCTTGGGTGTTCCCCGAGTCTGCAGCAGAGCCCCAGCGGGAGGTCTCCATCCTGGGAGGCTGAGGCTGGAGGGGATGGGTCTCATCTGAACAAAGAGGGACAAATCCCTCATCACGGCCTGTCGTGAGGCCTTCTGTCTGGCCCTGAACAGGGCGACACCAGGCCTCAGAGTCTCTTTTCTTCCACAGGAGGGCTTGTCCCACTTTCTCTATGTGCCTTTCCTCTGTGTCTGTGTCTGTGCGGCCGTCTGTACTGGCTTCCTGCTCCCCGAGACCAAAGGCAAGACCTTTCTGGAAATCTCTGAGGAACTGCACAGACTCAACTTCCCTAGGCAGAACCAGGGCCCCGAGTGGCTGGGCCCGGAAGTCATCCTGGCCACAGAGCTATAGTTCATTAGGTGCGGTGGGGCCCAGATCTAGCTGCAGCTCTCTCTTTGCTTCATGCCCAGGGTCCTGGCCCTCTGCGTTCCCTCCTTCCTGCCTTCACGTGTTTAATGAGTGCCTCTGTAGCACCTACTGCATGTGGCTTGGTGAGCCAGAGAGATGGGATCAGGACCCACTGGTGCTCTCGGTCTAGAGGCAGTTAACTAACAGGCAACCAATAAAAACAGTATTGCAAACTCGGGGAAACGTGGTAGGAGAAAATACAGATTATGACGTGAGTGCATAAAAGGGAGCCTGCCGTATCTGAGGAGGGTGGTCACAAAAGAATTTTCTGGGAGCACCAGCTGGGTTGGTTGGTAGAGCATGCAACTCTTGATCTTGAGGTTGGAAGTTTGAGCCCTATGTTGAGTATAGAGATTAGTTAAAAATAAAATTAAAAAGGGGCGCCTGGGTGGCTCAGTCAGTTAAGTGTCTAGCTTTGGCTCAGGTCATGATCTCGCAGTTTGTGGGTTCGAGCCCCACCTTGGGCTCTGTGCTGACAGTTCAGAGCCTGGAGCCTGTTTCAGATCCTGTGTCTCCCCTTCTCTCTGCCCCTCCCCTGCTCATGTTCTCTTTCTCTCTGTTTCTCAATAATAAATGTTAAAAAAAAATTTTTTAATAAAATTTTTTAAAAAAGGAATTTTCTGAGGAACTGATTTAAAAAAAAAACAAAAAACCAACCATGATGGGGCATCTGCGTGGCTTAGTTGGCTAAGCGTCCGACTTCAGCTCAGGTCATGATCTCACGGTTTGTGGGTTTGAGCCCCCTGTTGGGTTCTGTGCTGACAGCTCAGAGCCTGGAGCCTGCTTCAGATTCTGTGTCTCCCTCTCTCTCTTCCCCTTCCCCAGTCATGTTCTGTCTATCTCTCAAAAATGAATACATGTTAAAAAAAAATCAACATTGAGATATAATTTACATACAATAAAATGAATCCGTATTTAGTATACACTTGATGAATTTTGGCAGGTATATGTGCCCAAGAAACCACCACCACAATCCGAGTAGAACATTAAGCTCACCCCAAAGGCTCCCTTGGGCCCCTTTACAACCAGTAAGCCACCACACCTGCAGGCCCAGGCCACCATAGGTCACATTTGCCTTTTTTAGAGCTTGATATGATTCCACACCATAGGTATACATTTGTGTCTGGTTTTGCTCCAAAAAAGTTTTGGGGATTCACACATGTTGTCTCATATATTATAATATACATTCCTTTGGGTTGCTGAGCAGTATTCCACTGTATGGATGTATCATAATTTATTTACTATTTACCTATTGATGGACTTTTTGGGCTGTTTCTGATTCTTGGCCATTCATGAATAACACTTCTATAAACATTCCTGAACAAGTTGTTGTGTAGACACATGTTTTTCATTTCTTTTGGGTAAGTGAATTGCTGAGTTTAGCAGCAAATGTATGTTTAGGGACCCCGGGCTGGCTTAGTCGGTATGGCGTGATCTCAGGGTTGTGAGTTTGAGCCCCACGTTGGATGTAGAGATGATTCAAAAAATCCTTTAGTAAATGTATGTTTAACTATAGGAGGAAAACAATCAAAACAAAAAACTATAGAAGAAATTGTCCGAAGTGATTCTATTGTTTACATCCTCACTAGTGATGTAGAAAAGTTGTGGATGCTCCAGACCCTCGCCAACACTTGATATTGTCTGTCTTCTTAATTTAGTCATGCTGCTGGGTGTGCCATGGTGTCTCCTTGGGGTTAAATGGTGGCATTTCCCTGATGACCAGTGATTATAATGCTCATCATAATAATGCTGAGTACCTTCTCGTGCTCAATATAGCCATTTGTATATCTTCCCTCGTGAAGAATCTGTTCAAATCTTTTGTCCACTATTAACAAACAAACAAACAAACAAAAAGGAAGTTTGGGGCATCTGGATAGCTCAGTTGGTTGAGCGTCCAACTCGATTTTGGCTCAGGTCATCCCAGGGTGTTGGGATAGAGCCTGGAGTCGGGCTCTTTGCTGTACATGGAGTCTATTTAGGATTCTCTCTCTCCCTCTCCCTCTCTCCCCCTCACCCACTTGTGCTCTTTCTTAAAAAAAGTTAAAATATCAAAACCTATGCACACAAACACTTGAAGACCATACATGGTGTCATTTGCAGTAGACAGATATGTAAATAAACATTAAGGTGCAGTACTAAATAATAACCGCATAAAATTAACTATATCACTATAACAAAAACCTAAAAAACAAAAAGAGCACAACTTCTTTATCTCTTCTTGAGATACAAATGTCCAGTGTGTATGAAGATGAGCCCAGTACTGGAGACGGTGGTTAGCTCTTCTATTTGTTCCACCAAATTCCAGGGAGGAAGAGGCTAAATAGAATCTAGACTGTTTCCATCTGTTAGTAGTCAGCGTATCAAATCTACAGCCTAGTCCTCCTTGAGCAGTACGGCCTCCATAAGGCTGGATGCATAACAAAGACGGAGGTGGGAAATATGGAGGATTCAACATGTACATGCAGTTTAGGCCAGGGTCCCCATACACTCTTTAAAATTCCATTTTTGGGGGGCACCTGATGGCTCAGTTGGTTAAGCATTTAACTCTTGGTTTTGGTTCAGGTCATGATCTCACAATTTGTGAGTTCGAGCCCCATGTCTGGCTTTGCACTGATAGTGCAGTGATAGTGCAGAGCCAGCTTGGGATTCTCTCTTTCCCTCTCTGCCCCTTTGCTGCTTGTGCTCTCTTTCTCTCTCTCAAAATTAAAAACAAAACAAAATAAAAATAAAATAAATATAATTCCATTACTTGGTTAGAGCTGGGAGTGGTATCAGGGTGCTGCCCATCTTTTCTCCACTGCTCCTCTGATTTCACTCTCTTGCTTTTGAGAGAGAGTAGGTTTGGATCATCCAGTACTTGTACCTTTTGGTCTTGGGCCTCTCAGAGTTCACCACAATCATAGGTAGCTGCACAGTAGGAAGCCCATTTACCATCCCTCACACCAGTATCCACTGAATGATGGACCTCTGGTAACTTTAATGCATGCAGGCTGACCACAACACCAGGATTCTTTAAGTTATGGTGGGCAGGGGCAGTTGGGTGGCTCAGTGGGTTAAGCATCCGACTTTGGCTCCAGTCATGATCTCGTGGTTCGTGAGTTCCGACTGCACATCAGCCTCTCTGCTGTCAGCACAGAGGCTGTGTCAGATCCTCTGTCCCCCTCTTTCCACTGCTCCCCTGCTCACACCCTCGCTCAAAAATAAACATTAAAAAAAATATATATATATATATATATATATAAATAGAAAGGAATAGTGGGCAACTATTTTAGGGTTTAGTTCCCACTTGATGTTGTTCTTCATTCCTGCCTCCAGGTGGCAGCTTCTTAGAAATGTCATCTCACCTGCCCTGGTTGAGATCTCTAATTTTCCTTCTTGCTCAGCAATTTCTCCTCCTTAACCAACTTCTTGGTCTCAGGGGATGCATGTATCACCAGACTTTGGGGCGGTAGTCAATTCCTGCCCAAAGATTTCTTCACTGAGTCCAGGTCACCGGACTCCAAGTCCTTCCAGCGACTGCGTGAGGATGAACTCCAGGGTGTCCTCTACCAGCTGGTAGACATGGTGTCCAAGGTGCAGGCACAGCTTTGGGCACCTTCCACCAGCACTCCATGATGACGGTGTTCTGTGACAGAGGCTGAAGTCACACTCCTGCCCGGCGGTGCCCCTCTGCCCCTCGCAGCAGAGCTCTCCCCGAGGCTGCCACCATGTTCCCAGAGCAGAGGGAAAGTCTGTCCACTATTTTTTTTTCAAAGATTTTATTATTTTTTAAAGTTTATTTTACTTATTTTGAGAGAGAGAGAGAGAGAGAGAGCAAGTGGGGGAGGGGCAGAGAGAGAGAGAGAACCCTGCACTGGAGCTCCATTCAGGGCCCCATGCGAGGCTTGATGGGGGGCTCGAACTCACCAACCATAAGATCATGACCCAAGCCCAAGTCAGATGCTTAATGGACTGAGTCACCCAGGTGCCCCTAAGATTTTACTGTTTTTAGGGGGTGTCTGGCTGGCGCAGTCAGTAGAGCATGTACCTGTTGATCTGGGGATTGTGAGTTCGAGCCCCATGGTGGATGTGGAAATTATTTAAAGATTTTTTTTAAATATTAAAAAATACTAGAGGCATCTTTCTCTCAAAAATAAACTTTAAAAAATCTTTAAAAAGATTTTTTCTTAGCACAGTTTTCATTTCACAGAGAGATTGAGAGAAAAATACAGAGACTTCCCATATACCTCCCTACCCCCACATATGCATAGCCTCCTTTATTATCAACATTCCCCACCAGAGTGGCGCATATGCTATAATCCACGAACCTACATGGACATATCATTAGCGCCTAGTGGTCATGTTTTACATTCTATGGGTTTGGACAAAGGTATAGTGACAAGTACCCATCACTGCAGTATACACAGATTATCTTCACCACCCTAAAAATGCTCTCTGCTGTACCTAGTCATCCCTCCCTTTCCGCTGATCTTAGCATCACTGAATGAGTGTTTACTGTCTTCATAATTTTACTTTTTCCAGAACGTCCTATAGTCGGAATTACATAGTACGTAGCCTTTTCAGATTGGCTTCTTTCAGTTAGTAATATGCACTTAAGTTTCCTCCAAGTCTTTGCGTGGCTTAATAGCCCATTTCTTTTTAGCATTGAATAATATTCCATTGTCTGGATGAACCACTGTCTATTTGTCCATTTGCCTCGCGAAGGACATCTTGGTGGCTTCCAAGGTTTGGCAATTATGAATAAAGCTGGTATACACATCCGTGTGCAGGTTTTTGTGTCAAAATACATTTTCAACTCCTTTGGGTAAATACCAAGGAGCACAATTGCTCAATGACAGGGTAAGAGTATACTTTGTTTTGTAAGAACCTCCCAAACTGCCAAAATACCTGCAGCATTTTGCATTCCCAGTAGCAATGAATGCGAGTTTCTATTGCTCCACATCCTCTCCAGCATTTGGGGTTGTCAGTCTTTTGGATTTTGGCCATTTAACAACCGCTAGTGATATCTCATTGTTGTTTTATTTTTTAATGTTTATTTTTGAAAGACAGAGAGCGACTGTGAGTGGGGGAGGGCCAGAGAGAGAGAGGGAGACACAGAGTCTGAAGCAGGCTCCAGGCGCTGAACTGTCAGCACAGAGCCTGATGCAGGGCTGGAGCCCACAAACCGTGAGATCGTGACCTGAGCCGAAGTTGGACACTCAGCCGACTGAGCCACCCAGGCGCCCCAGGTCCATTTTGAAAATCAAGTTACTCGTTTTCTTATTGCTGAGTTTTAAGAGTTCTGTGTATACTTCGGTTAACAGCCCTTCATCAAATATGTCTTTTGCAAAT